TTTCATGATTAAATCAAGGGTCCTTTGGCTGTTTGATGAATATTTTGGATACTTTTGTGTTATAGCCACTTTTGAGGGGCCTCAATTTGCATTGCAAATTTCTAGCATGGTTTGTATTACTGTTTTGGAGTTTTTTACAGTTTCTGAAAAATAGTCCCCATATTTTTTGGTCCCTCTTCAATGTTTGTAGACTGAATTTTTCAGTTTTGGGCTTTAACATATACCCTTGCCTCTTTGGCCACCTTTAATGGCCTTCTTTTTCTTGCATGGGAGTGGCAAGCAATACCTGTGTTTGTTTTTGGGGGTTTTTTACAGTTCTGCGAGAACATCAAATATTTCAGGCCCCTCTTCAACCTTTTTTGAAGGTCCCTAACCCTAATTTGGAGTTGAATCCAGCTATGAAGTTGCTTCATAAATCTCGTGTTTAGGGCCGATTCTTTTGCACTGCCTATTGAGTTTAGCCAAAACATCTGTTGCAATATTGGCACTGCATTTGAAACTGAAATATAGAAGCAAGGAAATCCCAAGAATAAGCATTTTTTTTCAGTTCAAACATGGCCAAACAGCAAGCAAAGATAGGGCACAATGGCATGCAAAATTGGCCAAACACGAGATTATGCAAGCAACTCATAGCTGTAACTCCCAAATAGGTTAGGGACCTTCAACAAAGTTGAAAAGGGCCTGAAATATGATGTTCTCCAGAACTGTAAAACACCCAAAAACAAACACAGGTATGGCTGCATCCATGCAAGAAAAAGGCCAAAAAGGTGGCCAAAGAGGCAAGTGGTATATGTAAAGCCCAAACTGAAAATTCGTTCTACACATTGAAGAGGGACCAAAATATGAACTATTTTAGAACTGTAAAAAACTCCAAAACAGTATACAAACTGCTAGAAATGCAATGCAAAATGAGGCCTCAAAGTGGCTATAACAACAAAGTATGCAAAAATATTCATCAAACAGCCAAGACCTTGATTAATCATGAAGAATGGGCCAAAATAAGACTATTTTAGTACTGTAAAAAGGCCAAAAACCGAAGCAAGATAGGCTAACAAATCATGCAAAATGGGATTAAAAGAGAGTATAACATGAAGTGCACAAAATATGCTCAAACCATGAAGGAACTTAATGAAACATGAATAATGGGCCAAAATAAGAAATTTTCTAGCTCCTTAAAATGCCAAAAATGATACTCAAGAATAGGCTGCAAGTCCATACAAGAATAGGGGACCAAAGATGGATTATAAAGACAAGTGGTACTGGAGGTCCAAAAAAAGATAGCCTTCTTCAATGTTGAAGAGGGGCTCAAATAAGCCTACTTATAGTTCATGAGAACTCCAAAATAAGATCACACTTAGGTTAGAAAAGGCATGCAAATATTGACATCAAAGAGGGTATTGAAGCAAGTGCAAGATGAGGGCTCAAACAGGGTTGAGACCTTAATGAGACATGAAAATGAGCTCAAAAAAATGACCTTTTCATGTTTGCCGGGAGCTCAAAACAATAAGCATGTATGCGCTTGCAAAAGATACAAGAAATGGGCCAAGAAGGGGAAATTGCAACTCACCTTGAAGACCAATTCTTTTGTTGCTTCTGGACCAAAAATTTTGTTGCCTCTAGTGTTGGAATTCCTCCCCTTGCTGCTGGAATTGGAGTGGTGGTGGTAGAGCTTGGTGTGTAGAAGAAATGTGTGTAGAACTTGAAGTTTTCTCAAGGAATGAGGAGAATGGAGAGGGAGTTTTGTGTTCAAGCTTGAGGAGCAAGTTTTCTAACCCTTGTATGCAATGTTGCCAGCTGATTATATGGACAAAAAGGGGAAGTAAAGGAGGGGCAAAAGGGGGGGGGGAAAATAGGCAAGCTTTCCCCACAAAATATCCCGGATTGGATATTTCTGGGGATAAAGCTATACAGTTGTAAAGTAGACAGTGTGAGGGATCATGGCCAGCCAGGTATTTTTGTTCAGGTGGCCGGCGGCCACACCCCCTAGCCGGCCGGCTAGGGTCAAAAGGGTCAGTCAGTTTAGTGGCCGGCCACCACTTAATGGTGTCCCCATGTGCCCTCAACAACAACCCTGTGGTTAAAAGTCGAAGAAAGTGGCTCAAGGGTGTTCAACATTGCTCGGAAGGAGGGGTTCAAAAGGGTCAAGCAACATTAGTGGCGCACCAATTTCTTTTAGGGCTCCTCCATGTCGTGTAATCACAAGTATGTGGTTAAAGTTCAAGAAAGTGGGCCCCAAGGTGTTCAAACAGTAGCCCGGAAGGAGGGGTTCAAAGAGGTCAAGTAACATTAGTGGCCGACCACAACTTAGGGTCCTCCCATGTGTGTCATCACAATATATGTGTTCAAAGTTTTTCAAGAAAGTGCCCTAAGGTGTTCAACATTAGCCCGGAAGTGTGAAAAACGGGTGACATTCTGGCCTCAACACATGAACTGCCAAAAACCGAAATAACCGTTGCAAAACGAATGTTCGGGGCCAAAACGCGCAGTTCGAGTCCCGAAAATGGGCTGTTAAAAACACACGAAAGTGCATTCGACCAGAAGTGGTCTCTCAGGCCCCAGTGTCGCTCAAAGGGAGAAAATGGATGTATGCCAAAAATCAGAAGCAAAATGGAGATGGTTAGGCAGTCCGAATCGAGCAACATGCCAAGATCCCGAAAACCGGGAACCGGACTCGAAATGGGCAAATGGCCTGCGGCCACAAAATGTAGCCCAGGCCACTGAGAGATGGTCTACGGACCTCTCCCCTCCTCAGGAAAAGAAACAAAGAAACCGAGTCTGGTCGCGAAACCGAGGCAAGCACAAAAGAGTCCGGAAGTCAGAGCAGGGCTCACGGCCAAGACTCTGAAACTTCTGACGAGTCACATATGTATAGTCATCCGAGAGCTCAATCGGTACGTCTGAGTTTAAGTCGTCAAAAATGGGGTGTCTAACATCATGTTATTCCATTTTTCAATTACCTCCCAGCCACTCTTGCTCTCTGCTCTTCGCTCATTTTCTGAAATGAAAAGCAGACAATGGTTGCTTCGGTTTCAACGGGTCTTTTCTTTCTCTGTAAAAAATCAATAAGACAAAGATTAGAGAGAAGAAGAAGAAGAGGGAGGAGAGAGAAATATAGAGAAAATTACTGCATTTTACTTAGTTCAACTGAAGAAACTGCCTCATTCTCCAACAACTTATGGCTTCAGTTGTGAATGCCAAAAGACGCAGACATTGGTTGATGAGGAATAACAAACTGTGAAAGATTCAAATATGAAGATCAAAATCATAACTTAACTTTTTTCCTCTCTGATCTTCCTTTCTGCTGTCGTGCAAAGAGAGGCGGCGGGATGGTTGGAGTACCAAAAAGGCAGGAAAAATTATTCTGTGACTCTGTCATTTTGAGACACACACACACACACACACACACACACACACAAAAAGAGAAGAGAGAGAGAGAGGAAGACTGTGTGAATGGCTGCGAAAACTGTCGTGAGAGAAGAGATAGATAGAGAGACTGTGTGAAATGGCTGCAAAAACTGTCGTGAGAGAGAGACGAGAGAGAGAGAGAGAGAGACTGTGTGGAAAGGCAGAACTAAAATGATTAATATATATTGGATAGCAGGGGGACAAGGATCAATGAAGGCAAGGGAGATTTTTTTTTTCAAACTGTGATGGCTAGTGCGAGAGACACATTTGAACATGAATATACTCTCTCCTCTCTCTCATCAGTAGTAAATAGTATGTTTCTTACATTCCTTATTTTCTCGAACACGCTTTCCCTCTCTTCTATGGTAGTTTCATTCCTTCCTCCTTCCTAAATTTCTAAAAGGCAATATATCCTTATATGCTTATTTCCATAATTTGAATTATTTACATATGAAATATTTGAAATAAGATTATATTGAATAATTTAATATGAGTAATTTGAATATTTCAATAATTTGAAGTTAATATCCTAATAATTGAATATTTTTCCTAATTTGAATTATTAAATATAGAGGAGGAGTGATTCCAGAGTCTATCTAATTTCAATATATTTGAATAATTTGAATTTATTACAATATGAATAACTTGAATAATTTCATAATTTGATAATTACCTAACATTTCAATAATTTTCGTAATGGGCACCCAGATCATGTGCTAGACAATTAGACAGCTATTAGAATATCTCTAACGTTACTAAAAAAAAAAAATAATATGTAAATTTGAATAAAAATTAATGAAAAAGTTTCATATGATACTATGTGTTCCAATGCTTATTTTTTAATTTTATCAAAACACTGGTTGACAAGAGGTCGACAGACTTTTATTATAAATTATTATATATATTTAATATTGGTCTCAATTTTATAAAATAAAATTTATATATATTAAAAATTATATATGTTTGATTTGAGTGTGTGAATGCTGTGGGTGTGTGTGTCAAAGAGAGAGAGAGAGAGAGAGAAAAGCGTGTGAGTGTGTGATGTGATTTTGTTTTTTTTATTGAAAACGTATTTTCAAAACACGTTTTCACGTTGCACTGAAAACGCTGATACAAATAGCGTTTTCTTAATTAAAAACGTGTTTTGTAACCACGTTTTTATGATTTTATCCATTTTGTGCGCCTGGATCAGAAATATGCTAAAAATATATTTTGTAAACATTAGTTTGAAAAAAAGCTTAGTGGGTAGGCTTAGTTTGGAAAAAGCCCCAATTTGACCTCTACCATTAACTAAACGTTAAGAATGGTTAACTGACCTCACTAAAATATAAATTGATAGATAATATTATTCCTACTGAAATTCTTTTGATAAATCAACAAAATTTACAAAAGAATTACAGTACGTTAGACCAAAAAAAAAAATTTAAGTTTTTAGAACTATGTTTGATTTGTTGTTTAGAAGAAAAAGAAATCAGATTTAAAAAAAAATAAAACTAATATAATAAAAATAAATATGAAAAAATATATTTAATTTGTAAAAATTATTTCTAACCACTCAAAAGATAAAATTATATAAAATAATAATTATTCCAAAGATATTCAATTCTCGTTCTCTCCAATTCTTCTTTCAAGCTCTGGCAATTGGTCCGACGTTCAAGCTGTTATGTCATGAAAATGTTCCACCACAACTCAAAAAATTCAGAATAGTAATGTACAAGTTTAGGTCAATAGAAGTATATATCCAACTGTATCCGCCACTTATTTGACCAAATATGTTTAATTTAAAGATAAGTTGGAAGGAAATCTCCATTCGATGAATTCAAAAATTAAAAATAAAATTTAAAAAAAAAAAAAAAAGGTTCTTCTGATCAGCCAACTTGTTAAGGGATTCTGCGTACAGCTTTGTCAGCCTCTCATTATCTGTGTATAACAATATCTTTTATTTTGATTATTTGCAAACATGTGTCCTAAATAAAAAAATAAAAAAAGGGATGCCAGCATGCATAGGTAAAAGATATCAAATTTTCTTTTTTCCGATTGCAAAATAGTGGTTGTTGATACAACAGAATTGGGTGGGAAAAAAAGTTTTCATTAAGTTGCTTATCGATATGCAAAAAAGGGTATATCACACTTTACCCCTTGTGGTTAGGCCATAAAACACACTCCAACTAGGTAAAATGTAATTTACCCAAGAGTTGTTACTCCAAATTGAGTAAGATTTTGACCTTTTTCACATGCCATAATGTTTAGTGCTCTAATCACCAAATGAGGCATCTGCCAAAATTCAATGGGCTGCTCCAGTAATGCTGGTGATTCATCTCAATAATACTCCTTCAATCCGCAACAAACTAACTTGGTTGAAATAAATTGACAATCTACTAATTTCAAAACAGTGAAAGGCGAGGTGAGAAGTTTGAAATCTCAATTGTGTTTATTTTTGTTTTAATTTTTTATGAATCTGATTTTTTGAAACTCAAAAAGGGTTGTTTTGAAAATTTTTAATTTCTTTCAGAAATAGTTTCACCAAACCCATTTGCAGTGCCATCTTCAATTTTTTTTTTTTTTAAATGTTTATTTAGAACAAAAAAACAGTTTAGGAGAAAAGAGAAAACAAAATGGAAGACTTGAAGCTGTTTAGGATAAGAAAAGAAAACATAAATTCCGTACTCTATTACTTTCTTTCTTTTTTTCTCGGGAACCAAACAGAGTAACTAGAAAATGGAGTTCGAGAGCGAAACTACCTGGTTTGAGGCTATTGGAAATGAGTTGAAGAACTTGTCCATTATTAACTTCGGCGTTGCAATTTGATTGCAAGGATTGAATCTGTGTGATTCCATTCTTCACATCCTAAATAAGAATATATAAGAAATTTAAGTAAATTCCAAATTTCGATTGGAATAAAAAGTGAATGAATCTGAATTCAATAGAGAGAGAATCATGAAATGGAACATATATATACATATATTCATCGAATGAGGCATACATCGTATATATGATCGAAGGTGCGAAGCAGAGACTCCATTTCTTCATCATTTGTAGCCGCCGTTTCTTCTTTTCTTCTCTGTATAAATAACGGAAAAGGTAATGTAGGGTTTGTTTGGGAAGAAAAAGCTTAGGTTTTTTTTTAGATTACTTTAGCTAAAAAAATATAATAATATATATCACTTTTGACGTTGGGAAAATTACACTAACCTCCTATTATTGTAATTATTTAGACGGAATGAAAACATTAAGCTCATACACTCTCTCTTTTTTTGTTTTGCTTTACCTTCTCTTTTTTTTCGCATTTCCTTTACTTCTTTTTTTTAATGTAATTTTTTCTATTTTTTTATTAGGAGTTGTTACTTTTTATATAAGCAGGAGGTTTGTAAAATGAAACTATTAATCACAGTGGTAGAAATGTAATTTCTAAAACGTTAGGGGATGGGTAGTAATTGAACCAAACCTCAAGGGGTGTCAATGTAATTTATCAGAAAATAAAATATATTTTTTAATCTAATAAGACAAAATTTCACATCCAACTTATAATTATTATATTTTTTTCTTTCACAAAAATTTAAAAAACTCATTCCAAACAAGACTTTTTAATCCTAAGTTAAAAAAGTCAAAAAACCAAAAAAAGTAACCCAAATTCCAAACAAACCTGAAATAGCTAGTCTAATTCCCATTTAAGTCCTATTGAAAATTAGTTTTATTAAAATCATCACTAAAAATTAATAATTTCATTTTGTAACAAATTTTATAAATTGTCACTAAAATTTATAATTAGTGACTTTTTTTATGACGAATTTTCAAATTGTCGTTAAAAGTTGAAAGTTAATGACTTTTTTTGTGATAATTTTTTTAAATTGTTGTTAAAATTTATAATTAATAATATTTTTTGTGATAAAAAATTATTGTTAAAAATTAAAAATCAATGATATTTTTTAATAATAATTAATAAAAAATACTGTTAATTTTTTACAAAACTTATTAAATTATATATTTACTCAGAGGTGATTGAGATCCCCTCAAACTTCTACTCCCACCACCCCACATACACGTGGGGGTTGGTGACTGGGGCAGAAGGAAAAAAAAGAAAAAAAAAAATTGGCCAATCACATTGCAGAGGGAGTTGTGGGGGTCATTTCCTATGAGGTCCAGATCTTTTTCCATATTTATTAGACCGGATCCGTTTAAAAATTGTGGGACAGTCCGACTAAAGTCTGTTTTGATCGTAATAATAATAGTAGTGTAGTATATAGTGGTCCTGTGATCCAACGTGTGATTGCTTTCGTCCCTCAAAGTAATTTTATAAATATTAATAATTAATTTTGTAATTTTTTTTATTAGTATATGTATATTTTTTCTGCCGTCATTGACATGTAACAACTCTTTTAATATATTGAATTTGCCAAAAAACAAAAAAAAGTTTATTTTTAATTCACCTCTTAGAGTGAAAAGAATATGCAAGGGGTATGTAAACTTGCGTCGTAAATGATTTTATAAAATTACGTAATTTAAATATAAATTTGTGTAAACTAATTTATAAAAATTTAAGAAATTACAATTTAGCACAAGTTCTTACAAACATACATAAGTCACTCCACAAAATTGCGTAACTTAAATACAAATTTAAGTAAGTTAACTAATAAAATTTTGAAAAATTATAATTTAGTGTAAGTTCTCACGACATACATAAGTTACCTCATAAAATCGCGTAATTTAACACAAATTCACGTAAGTCAACTCATAAAAGGTGTCGTAAGTTCTTACAAAAGTGTATAACGTAAGTCACAAAAACACATAAGCAAATAGTATATCATATACCTTGCACACTAAAGAATTATCTATTTTATTATTAAGAGGTTATTTGGTATTTAGTTAAAAAAAGTCATTTCAATTTTTTTTTTGTCTTCAGTATTTTTTTTAAAAATTTATGTCAAAATTTTTTACTTTTCTGTTCCATTTACTGTTGTTGTTGTTGTTATCGTCATCAAACACCCATCAATTCACAGATTTATAAATCAAAATCACTTTTACCTCCTCCGATATTCTGTTCTCTACCCTTTTAATCTTATTGGTTCATCAAATCAGATTTTTACTCACGTAAACAACCCCATAAACCAACAAAATTTAAAGAAAAAGAGTAGGGAACATGCGATCTTGATTTCGAATTGATAACCGATTGACTTTTTTTTTAATAAAGAAAAAACATGATTCATTTTTGTTTTTTTAGAATAATTAACATTTTTCTACCAACTCAGATGAAGCACAAAATATTATGACGTAAACTATCAATAGTTTTAATAATTGTATTTAATTCTCATTAAGTCTTATTAAAAATAAGTTTTAATAAAATTGTCATTAAAATAATTTTTTGTAACTATTTTTTACATATGTCGCTAAAAATTGATAATTAGTAATTTTTTTTGGTCACGATTTTTATAAATTATTACTAAAATTTATAATTAATGATTCTTTTCTGTGATAATTTTTTTAAACTGTCGCTGAAAGTTAAAAATTATTGACTTTTTTTTGTGATGATTTTTTTAAACTGCCGCCAAAACTCATAATTAGTGACATTTTTTGTGACAATTTTTAAATCATCTAACAATGAGTGACTTTTTTAATAGTGTTTGATAAAAAATATTATTAATTAACATAGGACTTTTTGGATAATAAGTTCACCCATTATGGTCTACTTTTTTTTATGAAAGTTGTATTATGGCCTATTAACACTATAATGGTTAATTCATATACTAATAAGGCGAAATAATTTTTTTTTTTAAATAAAAAACACAAGACTTATATTAGAATTTCATTTCTTTAATTAATGTAATGTACCTATCTTTTGACTACAACCAAAGCCTGTTTGGTCGTGATTTCTTTTTTTATTTTTTTATTTTAAAATTAAAAAAAAATTGTTTAATAAAATTTTATGGAATTTTTTTAATAAAAACTAACCTCTTTTAAAAAACACAAAAAAAATATTTTTTTAAAATAATAAAAATTATATGAAAACTATAAGAATTGTTTGAAAAAAAAGTAATAAGAACACAGCCAAACAGGCCCGATTTGGTTTATATGCTTTTTGTACTTGTATCTTTTTCCTTGTTATCTTCTGCCTTCGGTCAGTCCACCACCACTAATCCATGGACCACCACGAACAACACGTGCGTTTTTTAGGCTGATTTTGAGAAGTTGATAAAAAATTAATTTTTTGATTTTTTTTTATAAAAAAAACATGTAAAAAGTAAAAAAATAATATAACCTAAAAAAGTTAAAAAATAAAAACTGATTTTAACCTCATTTCTAAAAGAGGCCTTATTCTATTTTTTTTTTTTTTTTTTTTTTTTGATAACTCAGTATCAAACTGGATAATTTTGGGATCAATCTCCCTATCTACTTGTAGAAGTTTCAATTAAAGTCAAGAAAAAAGTCTTGTACGAACTGGCTTGATTGGTTATTTATCTCATTTGCTCTCTCAAAATTACAAAATTAACTTATCAAATTTGCAAAATAACACTTTTGCCAATAAAAAAAAAATTAGATAATTAGAAAATTACTTAAGAAATTATTTAAATTTTAAAAAATGTAGATCAGATTTATTCTGAAGCTAACTCTCATCATACATAATTTAAATTTACGTTCCCTTCCTCTATTTTCCTCCTATCAATTGTTTTTTTTTTTAAAAAAAAATAGAACAAATTTGGTAATTAGGCCTATACCAAGACAAATAAGTATTTTTTTTTCTCCTTAATTTTTGCCATAGTACAAACTAGCTTAGTCATGGCCAAGTTTAAGGAAAAATATTTTATAGTCCAGTGCACCACCTTGCCATACTCTGACCAATCACAAACTATTGTTCACATTCCTAACGTTCAACAAAAAATCGTGAATTCCACCCTCTCTATCAATCACAACATATTTGAGATATCACATGGCACGAACTAACTTCTGAAGTTTAAGATTGCTTTGACGATTATTTTTTGTATTTTTTTTTATTTATTTTGTAGGATAAAATTATTGCTAACAAAAATGTGTTTCATGTATCAAAAATATTTTTTTTGGTTATTCAAAAAAGTTGAGTGAGGCCTCTGAAACTTGTAAAAACAAGTTTATTTTCCCTTAATTAATTAAAAAATTTGGCACAAACCAAACATATCCATACTTGCCTGCCATGCGATTCATCAATTTTAAGATTTCAAATAGAAATCAAATCCAAAAGAATAAATACATGACAAAAAAGTTTTTCAAACAAATTCTATAGCCAAAAAAAAATAAGAAAAAAAATTTACATGACACTTTTCACCTATTATAAAACAATCTGAAAAAACACTTTTTACTTAAGTTGAGAAACACGGCCTAATTAATATTTTATATGTTTTGACTAATATTTTCTACCGATAAAACAATAAATATTAAAAAAATCAATTGGAATTTGATTCTCTTTGAAACAAATTTTTTTTTTCTTTTTCTCCACGAGTTTAATCAACCTACTACCTAGTATGCCACTAATAAAAATATTAAGGTTCCTAGGATGAGACATAACCACGTTGCTTAGATGTTTCCCTTTATATTATCCCAAGTCACATGGCCGCAACTTTTGACCGTGGTGATTTTTTTTCTTTTGTGGTAAGTACAGTTTTCTAAAGTAAATAAATATTTTTATAAAGTGTCACGTTCTAGAAAAATTCAACAACAATGTGTCGTTGAGAAGTTATTCCATCGATCTAGCCTATCACATCAAAAGTGTATTTAACTGATAAAAATAATACATGAGAAAGACAAAGTTAAATTTTATTAATATGTTATTAATTAAAAATAATAATTACTTTTTATTTTAAACATAATTCATTAATTTAGCACACTATATTAATATGATAATGTAATGTATTAAACCTAATGAATAATTTCTATGTAATGTTGTTAAAAAAAAAATTCTTTGTAATTGTTGAACTTGTAGTAATTATTCCATCTGTCTCCAAATAATAGTATCTTTTAGAGAATCTAACTTTTTTTTATAGTACAATTATTACACTTTAAAAAAGTTGATTTTTCAAAATTACCCTTTTGATAGTATATTTTTTGAGAATATCAATGTCATAATTGTATTTTTATATTATTTAT